GTGTGTATGTATGTATGTAGGTATGTATGTATGTGTGCATATATATATATATATATATATATATATATATATATAAAAATATATGTAATCCCTGGGGGGCAGGCCTGGGGCCCACAAACAGCTGCCCCGACCCCCCATGGGAGGACGGGGCGGCCGGGGAGGTCCAAAATAGTCAAGGAGGGCCTCCAGAGGCTCCCCAGACGGCCCAAGCGTCAAGCGGGCCCCGGGTCGCCGAAAGACCGCTCCAGGACGCCCAAGATAGGCCGAAGACGGCCCGAGAGGCCCCCCAAGGCACTCCACCACGACGCTTCAAGACGCCTCTCCAGAGCGCTTCAAGAGGCCAAAGTCGGTCATTTTACGAAAATTTTGGAGAGATTTTGGCCTTCCAGCCTTTTCGGCTGTCCGACGTTCCAAGCCGGTTCCGTAGGCCCCCAAGAGCGCCCCAAGACGGCAAAAGAAGGCCCCCAGACGGCCCCAGAGGCGCCCAAGAGAGCCCCAAGATGGTCCCAAGATGCGCCCAAGAGGGGGACCACGACTCCAACATTCGACCCTCCCGCTTCAAGAGTACCCCAGGAGGCCCCAAGGCGCCCTCCAGAGGCCCCAGGATGCCCCCGAGAGGCACCCAGGAGACCCAAACAAGGCCTCCAGAGGCCACAAAACAGCCCCGAGGAGGTCCCACAACGGTCTCACAATCGCTACCGAGAAGCTGCGAAATTACCTTCACGACGTCCCCGACAGGCCAACCACGAGATCCAAACCAACACCCATGAGGCCTCTGACCCACCACCTAGGGCACCTGCCGCCCGCCCGCCGTCCGCGTAACACGCACCACTCTGTACTCAACAGCTTCAGTCTCCAAGACAACACCCTGTAGTCAACAGCCCCCGTCTTCAAGGCAACACCCTGTACTCAACAAGCTCCCGCTGCAAGAGAGCACCGTTAAGGAATTCATTCAAATCCCGACCCGCCCGCCCGCCCGCCCGCCACCCGCCTGCCCGCCGCCCGCCCGGCCGCTCGCCCGCTTTCCGCGTAGCACGCACCACCCTGCACTCGACAGCCTCCGCCTCCAAGACAACACCTAGCATTCAACAGCCCCCAGGGCTCCCAGGACTGCCCAGGCCCGCTCCCAAACACGCCACGACACGCCAAGAGGCCCCTAAAGATTGCCAAGACAGCCCCAAGAGGCCCCGGACACGCCGAAGATGGCCTCAGGACGGCCGACGACGCCGCCCAAACGCCCCAAGAGCGCCTCCAGAGGCTCCTCCAAAGGGCCCCGCATTTTTGCGCTCTCGCATGTTCCGCCTCCCCACGGTCCCGGACGGCGTCAGAGGCCCTTCAGATCGCTCCAAGACGGCCGAAGAGGTTCCCAAGGAAAGACCAGAGACGGCCCAGGAGGCTCCCCAGATAATTCAAGAGGGCCTCGATAGCGCCCCAAGAGAGCCCCAAGAGCGACCCAAGAGTGCCCGAAGAGCGCGACATTTCAAGGTCTCCGGCCTGAGAGACTCCTAGGACGCCCCCAGAGGCCATCAAGAGGCTCCCAAGAAGCCCCCTGAGGCTCCCAAGAGGCCCCCCGGAAGCCCCAAAAAGTCCCCAAGGGCCCCCCAGGGAAGCCCCCTGCGGGCCCCCAAGAGACCTCGGTAAATCTTATTTCCCAGAGCTTTCCGGGAACATGATTCCTTGGGCTTCCGCCCACCGCCCCAGCCATGTTTCCAATAGGCTTGCCGACAAGGCCAAAAAGGGCCCGTCGGTAAGCCCCCCAGAGCCCTCCTTGTTAAGAGAGCCGAACAAATCATGCTGCCGGAAAGCTTCCCAGGAACATGATTCTCGGGTTGTTGCCCTCTACCCAAATCATGTTTATTAACGCTTACCAGGATAAAGTACGAGAGTCCCAAGCAGCGCTACCTCCCGCCACGCTCGGAAACGCGTCAGGCCACGAAGCCTCCGGAGGCGCCCAACGACACCCCAACAAATCATGTTCCCAGGAAGTCTTACGGCCAGTACCGCCGACGTTGAAGGAGGACGGTCCAGGACACCCAGAAATCTTCCAAACAGGCTTCCAAGAGGGCGCCGAGACAGCCCAGGGCCGTCCCCAGACGGCCCAAGAAAGCCCCAACACAGACGAAAAGGGCCGCAAGAGGCCCCCAAGAGGCCCCGAAACGAGGACATATCGTTCGAACACGCCCAAGATGGCCTCCGGACGGCCCACAAGGCTGCCAACACGGCCCAAAGGGACGCCAAAATCATTGATTGTTCTTAATTTGGTTTCTGATGGATTTCAGACACCCAATGTCGCCCCAACAGGCCCCCAGGAGGGCGCCGAGACGGCCCAGAGACGCCCTGCCGCGGGCACGAGGCGGGGCCCGGGACGGGGCCCTCGCACCGGGGGGCCCGGGGGCCCTGCCGTGGCGCTGGGGGCCTTGTAAAGTCGCCCGAAGACGGCCCTGGCGTTTCCAGACAACGAAAACGACCAATGACCGCCCGAGATCACCCCAGAATTGGTCCCTGACTGTCCAAGAGGCCTCCAAGACGCCCCAAGAGGTCTCCAAGATGGCTCCCGAGGAGCCCCCAGAGGCACAACTAATTTGTTTTCCTTTGGTTTTTTGATCGATTTTCGAGTTCTCGCCTTTTGAGTTTCCTGAGGCTCCACGACGGCCCAAGAGGCTTTATTTCCGCTCCAAGGCATCCCCAGAGACCTCGAAGACGGTCACAAGACAGCCCACGGGGGTCCCAAGACGGCGCCAGAGGCGCCCAAGGCGGCCGAGAGGGCCCCAAGACGGCCCAAAGATGAGCCAAGAGTGTTGACACGAACCAAAAATCCGAGTCTTCCACCCCGAGAGGCTCTCAGGATGCCCCGAGAAGCCCCTAACAGGCTCCAAGAGGCCCCAAGAAGCCCCCCAGGGGGCCGAAGAGTATCCAAGATGCCTCCCACGAACGCCCCAAGAGGCAAAAATCCATGTCTTGCCATAGGTTTTTGATTGATGTTCGAGTTTTCAGCATTTTGGCGTCCTGACGCTCCAAGACGGCCCAAAAGGCCTCCAAGACCAATTCAAGATAGCCCAAGAGGCCTCCAACAGGGCCCAAGACAGCCCGAGAGGGCACCAATACGGCCCCAAGGGGGGCCCAAGGGGGGTAAGACGATCCGAACATCCGAGCCTTCCACCCCGATAGGCTCTCAGGAAGCCCCAGAGGCCCCCAAATGGGACCCAAGAGGCCCTCAAGAAGCTCCCCAGAAGGCCGAAGAGGTTCCAAGAAGCATTGTTTTCCCATAGGCTTTTGATGGATTTTAGAGTTCCCAGCCTTTTGGCATCCCGACGCTCCAAGACGGCCCAAGTGGCCCCCACGGCCGCTCCAAGATAGCCGAAGAGGCCTCCAAGAGGGCCCCAAGACGGCCCACGAGGGCCCCAAGACGGTGCCCGAGGCGCCCAAGACAGCCCGAGAGGGCCCCAAGAGGGCCCCAAGAGAGCCTCAAGAAGGGGAACGCGAACCCAACAGCAGAGCTTTCCGCCTTAAGAGGCCCACAGGAGGCCCCAAGAGTCTCCAAGTGGTCCGACGAGGCCCCCCAAAGCCCCCCACCAGGCCCCAAAAGGCTCACAGGAGACGTACACGGGGCCCCAATAGCCGAACAGTGCTCTCGATGCATCAAAATTGCTTCAAGGAGGCCCCGGGAGGCTTCCGGATTGCCCCAATGTGGCCTCAAGCTGGGCCTCCACGCAGCCAAGACGGCCAATTGACTGCTTCAGACTGCAGAACATCACTTTCCGACTGCCCGGAGAACCCTGACGATGCCCCCAAGGGACCCCAAGAAGCCCCAAGATGCCCCCCCCGAGAAGCACCCAAGAGGTGCCTCCAACAGCCAATTGAGGAAGCACGGAGAACTTCCCCAGAAGCCCTTCAGACGCCCCCACGAAGACCCAAGAGGTTCCCACGAGGCCCTCAGGAGGCACGACTATGTCACGCGCCTGTGCTTGGCTTGATAGCGCTGTCCAAGATCTTCTAGCGCGCCCCCGGCCTGGGCTAGAACTTCAGCACGCGCGAAGCGCGCGATGGCTCCAGTATATATATATATATATGCGTAGATATATGTAGTGTATACATACATACGTGCACGTAAATGAATATGTTTATGCAACTGTATTTGTATATGTTTATGTAGTTGCGTCTGTACATGATGTGCGTTTGGGTATACAGGTGTGACTATGTATGTGCATATGTGTACGTATGTATGCATATATGGACGTGTGAATGAATGCATATATGCATGTCTGTGTGTACGCATATATGTGTGTATGTGTGTAGACATGCATTCATGCATGTTTGTTTGTGTACATGTATGTATGTCTACATGCGTGTACACAGCCAATGATGTATACATATATATATACTCATATGTATGCATGCATCCATGTGTAACGGCCTCGAAGCAGAATCAAAATGAACAAATCATGACGGGAGGTTTCTCGTAATTTTCAATGAAAAAATCATGACGGGAGGTTTTTCGTAAATCATGACGGGAGGTTTTTCGTAATTTTCGGCCTCCGGGGGCTCTCACAGGGCCTCGGGAGCGTCCAAAAACGAGTCGGGACGAGAAACCGGTCATGGGGAAAGGGTCGGGACCTCTGTGGGTCGACGTAATGAACAAATCATTACGTCGGGGGTCTGGGACTGAGGCTGGACTCCTCCGTGCTTTGCGCGTGTTCCTGCACATTGCCCTCCGACTCGTCCCGCGGTCCGCCCGCGACCCACCCGCGATCCAGTCGCGCGCTGCCCGAGCGAACAGACATCGGCGCCCGCGCCGGGCCCGCTGTGCAGAAGCGCAGGAGTTCAACCCAAGTCCTTTGTACTGAGAAATGGAAGGCATCAGAACAGCCACGTCCCGTGTGTTGAGAGCTTGTGAGCACACGCAATCCGTGGACTTACAGCAACCCGAACAGGGGCGCTTGCCTGTTGAAAAAGATCAGTTCAACCCAAGTCTGGCTCGGGCGTCGCAGGCTGCCGACGACACCCCCCCCGCCCCCATCACTCTCCTCCTGAGCGGCGGGGGGCTACATGGTGCACCACCGCGGGAGGCACGGCTGAGACGAAGTCTCGCGTGCCGAGTCTTGCCCTCGGGGGGGCGAAGCCTCGGAGGTGCGCTCCGCAGCCCATATTTAAATGCTAAGTTGCATCCCTAAACGCTGGTGTTGTGCTCAGTTCGGACTTCTACTCCTTGCCTGGCAGCACGGTGCCTGGGTCCTTGCATGCTTAGTGCGCCGCGCGAGTATCTAATTTTGAATTGGCCCAAGGCCCACAGAAGAGCAAATCGAGCACATTTGTCGAATTGCAGCCCAGGGCAGCCCAGGGTAGCCCAGGGTTCTCCTAGTTTGCCCATCGCTCTTCCTCCTCCATTGATGAGAGCTTTGTCTCGCCTCGATTGCAGTTTTTACTGCTCTTCGCAGTCCTCTCACATGCCAGCTCCTCTCTACTTTTGAAGAAAGCTGCTGGTGTTCCTACGCAGCTGCCACATGCCAGGACAGCAATGTATCTTTACGAGCTCGCCACCTGGCATGACCCGGTAAACGCCTGGGCCCAGTGGACGCGGCCAGCCAAGAGCGGTAGAGGATGCCCGTCCCATGATCCGACGGCGCCGAGATTGCCCAGACTTTTTTGTTTGGGGGGTGGCGCCATGCTCTCCAGACGGGAGCACGGACAGCAGGAGGAGGATTAGAGGAATGGCCACACTTCTTTGCCTCTTGTCGCAAGAGATGTTGCCCAGATCCTCGGGCCCACAAGTGGCGTCTCGAAGGGTTTCTGGCACTGGCGGGCCGGTTATGGGATGCCCGTCGAGGGCCTGCTCGGGTCCTAGGGATCGTCCAGTGTGTGCAGGCCCTGAGATCCGACGCTGGAAGATTATAGCATCGCGAAAGAGCACGACCAGAGCCCTGGACCCCGTCTTTCTGCGTAGTTTTCTGAGCCAGGGCGAACCGTGATGGTTTCGGGGCCCGAAACTGAGGGCATGCGTGAACGATCTGCAACGCCCGTGTCTCAGGGTATGCGGAGCCTACAGTGCCATTTTTAATACATGCTCCGCGTGCGGATCATGTATTAAACATGCAGGGGTTCAGTATTAAAAACAGCGAGGAGTTCGTGCATCACTTTGTTCATAAGTTGTTCATGTCTTAAACATCAGGTATTTGTAATACTCCTATGCATCAAAACCTGCCCTGTACAGTGCTGCAGGGACCTCTGGCAAAGCCGTCACTCTTGGCATCGCTCGGACGTGTGCGTTTTTCCTTCGGCGAGGGCCATCGAGGAGCATCCTTGACCATTTGGCGAAAAAACCACGCACGAAACCGAAAAACAACAGGGAATGGGCGTCCGAGCGATGGCGAGCACTGGGGCCCTCCCGGGGCGGGCACAGCGATTGGATGTTGCCAGCGTCCTCCCCCGGTGCCGCGGACGCGCCGAGGGCTCCCCCTTGGGGGATCTTCCACGGGGGCCTCCGCGTGCCTCCCAGGTTCCCCAGGCCCGGACCCTCGCTCGGGTCGGGCAAAACGGGGGGGATTGGGAAAGGGGGGGTTGCAAAATCTGCTGCATGCAGCTGGTTTCGGCCCCGCCGCCGGGCCCATTCCTCGATACATGGGCGCCTCCCGGCGCCGGGCGGCGCCGGGAGAATCAGCTAGGTGAGCTGATTCACAACCCCCCCCTTTGCTATCCGGCCGAGGTGCAGGACCACAAGCGACAGCTCGACGAAGCGACGGACCAGCTGGCCAAGGCCCAGCAGCAGATCGTCGGCATCAACGCGGAGGTTGCCCAGGCCAGGCTCGCGCTGGGACCGCCCCCGGCGCCAGGCATGGCAGAGGCAGCCACGGCGGTCGCCTCCCTTCAGCAGATCCTCCAGGGCGCTCGAGACTCCATCGCCGCGGGCCAGGATCGCAACGTGGTGGGCGGCGCCATACTGGACTCTCTGGCGGACCACATCAACAGGCTGGGCGCTGCTGTAACTGCCCAGGGCGCCGCTTTTCGCGCCGCAGGCGGGCAGCCTGCAGGCGCCAGCGCCCCACCGACAGCAGCACCATCACCTACTGGAGTCGCGCCCGCCGCCACGGCCCCTGCAGCCGCCGCGGGCGCGGGTGCCAACAGCAGCATCCAGTGCGTGCCCCCCACAGCAGAGGCGGTGGCATGGGAAAGCGGATAATCATCGAGGTCGACGTGGAGCCAAGCGCAGCACCACAGGCGCGGTCACCTTCAATGGGTCGTGCTGGACTGCGTACCAACAGTTTTTGCTTGAAGGTGCGGGGGGCGCTGTCGTGGTTACCTGCCAGGAGCTACGCCTTGACGGAAAACGGCTAGACCACGCGCGAGCCTGGGCACAGAGGCATGGATGGCAGCCATTCATCAGCCCGTGTCGCAGGCTCGCATCTTCGTTGCCGAGTGCAGGAGTTGGGATCTTTGTCAAGTCGCATGTGGAGACTACTCAAATGAGTCCCACAGGGGGCGTCATTGACGGTTTTGAGATCCTGCGCTCTTGGGCAGTGGCAGTACATGTACACGTTGGACCGACTGGGGGTATCATCGTGGGCTGTGCATACCTGGAGCCGGTCGGGGCCAGCGACTACCTCACCGCGAACTACAAGAAGCTCATGCGCATCGCCGAGGCCTTGCGCTACTTCTCGGCCCCGTACATTTTTGCGGCCGACTGGAACGCCGAGCCGCGCCTTCTCGAGGACCTCGGCCTCATGCAGGTGCTGCCCGCCATCGCGGTGGCGCCCCCCGCCGGCACGTGCAGGGCTGCCACCGCTGGCAACCTCAGCACCATAGACTACTGGCTCACCTCGCCTGGCTTTGCGAAGGTGTGCATGGCGCCTCGGGTCATGGATGAATGGGCGCCCCGACCGCACTACCCAGTACGTCTTGATCTTGCGGCTCGGCCTCGGGTCCACCTACAGCTTCACCTCCGTGCTCCGAAGGCTTTCCCAAGGCAGCCGCCGCGTTTCGCTGGCGCCAGCCCGCTGACAGGCCCACCGCCACAGAAGCCGTGCATCGAGGTCATTCAAGGAGATGCACGCCGTGGACTACCAGAAGGCGCTCCAGCAGCTCAACAACGCTTGGATGCACTGTACTCCACCTTCACCTCCTTCGTGGAGCAGGACCTCTGCCACATCTACCAGCTGCAGGACGCCGAGCGCTACTGTGGCAGGGCCGCGCGCCCCACGTATGTTTGGCGGCCAGTTGGCGGACCACCACTTCGACCAGGTCGGCCCGCGGCTGGAACGGAGGCCCGCTACGTGAGAAGCTTGGCGTTGGCACTGCATGACCTCGTCAGATCCATCACGCAACAGTCCGATCCAGCGGCTCGCTGGCAGAGGTTGACGCGTGCCCTTCGGCCTGGCCACCAGCAGGACATCCACTCACAGGAGGGGGCTTTCTTGTTTGAGGCGGCATGGCGTCTCATCCACTACGCGGTCATGCAAGATTCCAACGTCTGCCTCACCTTGCTCACAGCATATGCGACCACGGTCGAGTCTCATGCTGAGAAGTTGGAGTCCCAGGCAGCTCGGAAGCGCACGGAGCAGTTTCGCAAGTGGGCTCAGGACGCCATGATCACAGGAGCTTCCCCCCTCTTCGGCATGACGAAGCTGAAGGGCTGGGCGCACCACGAGGTGGACAGGTTCGGCATCCGCACGGCCTTGCCGCAGGCCGTGGCCGACAGCCAGATGGGTTTCTGGAATGACATCTGGAAGGGGGATGTGGTGTTGCCGAAGCCAGACATGGACAAGGTCATGACGGACTTCGGCGACATCACAGTCCTGCAGGATGGTGACATCATCAACGAGCACACCATCACGCAGTTGGATGACATGGAAGGACACATTTCGGACATTCTCCGCACCATGCCGAAGGGCGCCTTGGCAGTGCCGACCATCGGCGAGATCAGGGCCGCCTCCAGGACCTCCGCTTGGAAGACAGGCCTTGGCGCCGACGCCATGCCACCCAGAGCATTCTCGCCCCTGGCCGACGGCGCGTTGGCCATGCTGATCTACATATCTGGTCGGCGGAGGCCTGGGGGCGATGGCCCTCGGCCATCATGGCGGTGCACGTGATGCTCCTCACGAAGGCCCAGGAAGGGTTCCGTCCCATCGCCTTACTCCCCTCGGTCTACAGAGTCTACACCAAGGCACGCATCAGCCACATTCGCAGGTGGATGGCACTGCACGACCGCACCTACTTCGCCCTTGGCACAGGGCGCTCGACCATCGACTTGGGCGCGCGCACCATGGTCTATGCGGAGGCGGCGGACGCCACGGAGGGGGACGTGGTGGTCACCACGCTAGTCGACATCAGCAAGTGCTTCGACAGGGTGCAGTGGATCAAGATCGTCTTGGCTGCACGGTATTCCGACTTCCCTGCAGCCATCCTCAAGGCTGTGCTCGCCATGTACATGGCTCCCAGAAGGATTCGATGGGGTGTGACATACTCCTATGCTGTGCGCACTATGGCGGGTGCGCTTCCTGGCTGCACGGTGGCGATGTACCTCCTACAGTTGACCATGATGACGCCGTTTGACATCTTCACCGCTTCCCTGCGCGGGGGCATCAGCTACGCCCTCGACATCTACGCGGACGGCATCACGCTACAGCTCATGGTGCCCGCCTCCGAGATGCGCGAGCAGGCGGCCAGCATCATTGAGAGGTTGGTCAAGGTGGCCCAGGCGCTGGAGCTACCGATCGCCAGGGACAAGGCCAAGATCTTGAGCTCCTCGATGTGGCTAGCTGAGCAAGTGGCACGTCGACTCCGCGACTTCGGCTTCGAGGCGGTGCGGCAGCTCACCGTCTTGGGACTGGAATGTCGCGCGGGAGCTCGTCTCACATACTCGGCGATCCACAAGCGGGCGCACAAGGTCGAGGAGCGCCTGCCCAGATTTCGGAAGCTCCGAGGACTGAAGCGGATCGCGAGACGAGTGGCACGGCCCGCCTTGGCGCCTGGCATGGTCTACGGCCCCCATGTCGCGGGCGCCCCCCCGTCGACGCTGGCCACGATGACGAGTGTGGCACGCGCGGGATGGGCCAAGACTCCCACAGCGTCATCGACGTGGCTGGCCTCGCTGCCGGAGGAGGCCCCGCGCCAGATGCCCGAGAGCCTGGCCATGACGGAGCCGATCTACACGTGGGCGCAGATGGTCTATGCGCGTCAGGTGCCGCTGCACGTCCTGGAGAAGGCTTGGAACATCCAGGCGAAGACCATGGACCACGCCACTGCATGGGGGCAGGTGGCAGGCCCCGCTGGAGCAGTTCAACTACTACTACGTCGGCTTGGCTGGAGGGCCCACTCGGCGACTTCTTGGACCACGGGTAATGGAATGGAGCTCGTCTTGACCGACGCGTCGCCGAAATGGGCACGCGTCGCGGCAAGGCGCAGTTATCGGAATATGAAGTGGGAGGACTGGTCCAGTCGGCGAGAGCATGCACATGAGCTTCCGCCAGCCCATCGTGATCCGCGAGGCTAGTGGATAGAGCCGATCGCTGCTATGCTACACGCTGATGCTGAGGCCGCTCGTTGGAACTTGAGTATGCGTGCGAGGGGGGGGCGCTTCGATCCACAGCCATTGGAGCCCAGTGGACACAGCGGCGCCTCTACACCATGGGCTATGTGATGGACCCCAGCTGCCGCTACTGCCAGGACTGTTGCGGCCATCTTCATCATCGACTTTGGTCATGTCCCAACCTCGCCGACATGAGGACGGAGGCGGTGGACCAGGCCATCCGACGTCGAGCTCTTGCCGCGCCGCCCAGCGACCTCTTCCTCACGAGGGGCCTCTTGCCACGTGTTGCACTACCTGTGCTGCCCCCGCCAGCGGACACGGAGTCCTGGTATTATTGCATGGGGGGCCAGGGCATGACGATC